TTTTTTTTAAATCCGCTCTATTGTGACACCAGATCTAATTAGTGGCACTGGTCAGCGTATCCACTGTTAGCGTAACACACCCGCTTTAAGGACACTGACTGCTATTCAATCTATAACAGAAAAAAAAATTTTTGTTTTTAAATCCAAGCTATTGTGACACCAGATCTAATTAGTGGCACTTGTCAGCGTATCCACTGTTAGCGTAACACACCCGCTTTAAGGACACTGACTGCTATTCAATCTATAACAGTGAAAAGAGTGTTTTGTTTTTAAATCCAAGCTATTGTGACACCAGATCTAATTGGTGGCACTGGTCACCGTATCCACTGTTAGCGTAACACACCCGCTTTAAGGACACTGACTGCTATTCAATCTATAACAGTGAAAAAAGTGTTTTGTTTTTTTAAATCCAAGCTTTGTGTCACCAGATCTAATTGGTGGCACTTGTCAGCGTATCCACTGTTAGCGTAACACACCCGCTTAAGGACACTGACTGCTATTCAATCTATAACAGTAAAAAAAGTTTTTTGTTTTTAAATCCAAGCTATTGTGACACCAGATCTAATTAGTGGCACTTGTCAGCGTATCCACTGTTAGCGTAACACACCCGCTTTAAGGACACTGACTGCTATTCAATCTATAACAGTGAAAAAAGAGTTTGGTTTTTTTAAATCCAAGCTATTGTGACACCAGATCTAATTAGTGGCACTGGTCAGCGTATCCACTGTTAGCGTAACACACCCGCTTTAAGGACACTAACTGCTATTCAATCTATAACAGTGAAAAAGTGTTTTGTTTTTTTAAATCCAAGCTTTGTGTCACCAGATCTAATTGGTGGCACTGGTCACCGTATCCACTGTTAGCGTAACACACCCGCTTTAAGGACACTGACTGCTATTCAATCTATAACAGTGAAAAAAGTTTTTTGTTTTTAAATCCAAGCTTGTGTCACCAGATCTAAGTGGTGGCACTGGTCACCGTATCCACTGTTAGCGTAACACACCCGCTTTAAGGACACTGACTGCTATTCAATCTATAACAGTGAAAAAAGTTTTTTGTTTTTAAATCCAAGCTTTGTGTCACCAGATATAAGTGGTGGCACTGGTTACCGTATCCACTGTTAGCGTAACACACCCGCTTTAAGGACACTGACTGCTATTCAATCTATAACAGTGAAAAAAGTTTTTTGTTTTTAAATCTAAGCTATTGTGACACCAGATCTAATTAGTGGCACTTGTCAGCGTATCCACTGTTAGCGTAACACACCCGCTTTAAGGACACTGACTGCTATTCAATCTATAACAGTAAAAAAAGTTTTTTGTTTTTAAATCCAAGCTATTGTGACACCAGATCTAATTAGTGGCACTTGTCAGCGTATCCACTGTTAGCGTAACACACCCGCTTTAAGGACACTGACTGCTATTCAATCTATAACAGGAAAAAAAGTTTTTTGTTTTTAAATCCAAGCTATTGTGACACAGGATCTAATTAGTGGCACTTGTCAGCGTATCCACTGTTAGCGTAACACACCCGCTTTAAGGACACTGACTGCTATTCAATCTATAACAGTAAAAGTTTTTTGTTTTTAAATCCAAGCTATTGTGACACAGGATCTAATTAGTGGCACTTGTCAGCGTATCCACTGTTAGCGTAACACACCCGCTTTAAGGACACTGACTGCTATTCAATCTATAACAGTAAAAAGTTTTTTGTTTTTAAATCCAAGCTATTGTGACACCAGATCTAATTAGTGGCACTTGTCAGCGTATCCACTGTTAGCGTAACACACCCGCTTTAAGGACACTGACTGCTATTCAATCTATAACAGTGAAAAAAGTTTTTTGCTTTAAATGCAAGCTATTGTGACACCAGATATAAGTGGTGGCACTGGGCACCGTATCCACTGTTAGCGTAACACACCCGCTTTAAGGACACTGACTGCTATTCAATCTATAACAGTAAAAAAGTTTTTTGTTTTTAAATCCAAGCTATTGTGACACCAGATGTAATTGGTGGCACTGACTGGGGAAATGGGCACAGTATGCACTGTGAGCCTGACACAGAAGTTGGCAGCAGTGGCAGACAACTGACTGCTATTCAATCTATAACAGTGAAAAAAGTTTTTTGTTTTTAAATCCAAGCTATTGTGACACCAGATGTAATTGGTGGCACTGACTGGGGAAATGGGCACTGTGAGCCTGACACAGAAGCTGGCAGCAGTGGCAGACAACTAAGTGCATTTACATTACATAGAAAAAAAAAATCCAAAAAAAGCATACCCTTATCCCTAACCTAGCTATGCTTTTCCCTATCTTATGAACAGCAGCTACACTTTCCCTCCTCTTACTAAGCATGCAGCTTGAGAATGAATCTAAAATGGATGCTGTCCAGTAGGTGGGAGGGTCTGCTAGGGAGGCTGTGCTGCTAATTGGCTGGAATGTGTCTGCTGACTGTGAGGTACAGGGTCAAAGTTTACTCAATGATGACGAATAGGGGGCGGGTCGAACCGCGCATATGTTCGCCCGCCGTGGCGAACGCGAACATGCTATGTTCGCCAGGAACTGTTCGCCGGCGAACCGTTCGGTACATCACTATTGGTGTCAGACCATTTGGCTGGGCGTCCATCCACTTGTTTGAAACTTATGGGAGACCACATCTTTTTTTTTCGGTTGGTACACTGCTTTACAAGTCTTTGGGCATAATTTTGAATTTCTTGTGGTCCACAGTGTCTTGCTACTAGGGATGCTTTTCTTCTTGTTCATTCTATGTGTTTTGCATTGCCAATATAATCTGTAATTGGAAACCTTATATATGAGAGTGTTCGATCATAATGTTAAAACCTATTACCCTAGCTGCACTAGTCTGTAATAGGGGAGCAATGCCATGTGGTATGAAAAGTGATGGTGACTGGTATTTACAATATTATCATGAACTTGGCTTAAATATTATGCATCCTCACAAACAGTGACTCTATTGCATTCAGGTATTTTTGTATCCATGAGCTGCATGAAATTACCATGCATTTGCTCATCGGAAAGCTCAGATCATTCACCAATTGCTTAGGACTGAAAAACGACTAATCCCGTATTCATTTTATTTTTCATTTATTAAACTGTTACAACCTTTCATGATAATGCAGATGCCTGGGGTCATTATTATAGCTTTGTGTTGTCCCCTAAAAAAGAACAGTTTAATATATGATTTGCTTCAAGTATACATTTATTGCATTTCAGTCAGTACATATTAATGGCATCTTTTGATGGGATTTTGATCATTCCCATCTGGTAGGAAAGAATTTAATTAATTTGTTCTATACTCTTTTTGTATTGACTGGGAAAACTCACTTCTCTAGAAATTACACAATTGAATGAAAGATTGCTAGTAACCTATAACTTGTATTAACCTTTTTATCAAATACCCCATCATCTTTTACCCCTTAATGACTAATGGAATTGTACAATTTTTGACAAAACCTCGAAATTAAGCTATATGTTTGTTCAACCATAATTTGCCATTTTTATTTTAAGTGCACACACACTTATTATTTATCATTTTGTTCAGGAGAAATATGGCTTTGATTTTACATCAAATATCTATATATGAAACACAGATGTATTTGAATAAAATCTAAAAAAGTGGTAGAAATTAAGAAATGTTTGTATTTTCCAACGTCTGCATGTTTTTTCATCTGTGAATGTTATAATACTGTTATCTTTTACAGCAATAAAATACACATATTTGTGTTCAGCAATGTCTCACAAGTACAACAGTATTCCTATGTACAGGTTTTATTGAGTTTTGGAAAGTTACAGGCTCAAATAAAGATCTTGTCTATTTCAGGTTTTGAACATTGAAATTTGCCGGATTGGTTTGTTGGCCCTATGTTGCCTTTGAGACCTTATGGCAGTCCAGATATAACAAATACCTTTAATTAATAATGTATATTTAAGCAGCTGGGCTTGGGAGCCACTGGGCTTGCATCTAGTATTTGCCATTTTGGATATTCCAGACTTTATGAAAACATTTGTTCTGATTGTCTCTCTGTAACCACGAGTGAATCTGGAGAATCTGTTATCTGGGGTGAATTCATAGATTGGATCTTTTTTGGAAGTAACTTTAAAGTGGATGAAGAGTACTGGATCAGGAAATAACTTGTCTTTCCACATTCAACAGGAAACCATAGTGTTGAATGTGGTATTCATGAAAACAGATCCCTGGGCAAGTTTACTTTTGTTCTAGTTGATCAATGAAATGGCTGATGTTCTAATGGACAATTTCCCCATGTCGAAACATGGTCTGTACATCTGGAGTTACAACAAGAATATTGCTAGGCAATGAAACACAGCCACACAATGTTTTTCTTAGGAGACCAATAACTGTACAATACATTTGTACTGATACAAATCCTAGATCCTAAAACTGAAATGACGATGATTGAAAATGCAAAAACTGAGGAACCTCTGATTCTGTGCCACATGGAAATGGAAATGGGCATCCATCAAATCTACTAAGGTTAGTAAGTGTCTGAGGTGAAAACCTGTAATTGTGTAATAGAGAGACTTCATGCAAAAGTGGCAAATGCTCACAAATAGAGCTGGTGAAGATCCATAAGAGGTCTTTACTTCCCCTTGAGCTTCTTTACTAGAAATAGAGGGGAATATAATCTGTACAAACTGTTACTTTTCTATTTTAATCTTATAGGATTTCTCTGATAACTGTTTGCAGAAGAGAGGATATTCATACAATCAGTATTGTTTTAGATGCTAGATAGGGCTCCTTTTCTTTCAAAAAAATGGAGGAGGCAGAGAATCTTAGAACTCTAGGGTATACTATAGATCTGACCCACACATCTGGTATCTGAAAAAAAGCCTTTTTCCTTGAAGACTTTGCAGATTATTATCCACTTCTCCATTTTGATGTTCTATTCTTCAGCAGGCCTGTAAGCCTTGCTTTTCTGTGTATTACTGATAAACATTCTATGACTATTGTCTCCTTCTATTCTGAATACGAAGCACTTCTTGGACCTTCTTTATGACTTTCTCTAATGGTTGTGCCTTGAGGGAATAAAAAGCAATGATTGTATTTAGAGGAAACATCAGCTGCCCCATGACCTAAACCAGAGGGCTATTCTGGCGACAACTAAAAGTCATGGTGTTTGACAGAACGTTCAAAAAAAAATTCCCTCTTGACCCCAGAATGGCAGTCAGATTTATCCTTGGATCAAGAAGCTATTACCCTACAGTTGAAAGATTATATAATTGAATATTCTGTTTTTGCAAGTATGCATCTAGTTGCTGTTTAAACATCTGTACAGACTCTGAAAAAAACACTTCTTCAGGCAGAGAATTCCACATCCTTATTGTTCTTATGGTAAAAAAAAAAACTTTTCCCTTGCCTTAGTCTAAATCTTCTTTATTCCAGTCTACACAAATGACCTTGTGTCCTATGTATGGTCCTGTTTGTGAATAGATTTACATACAATGGTTTGTATTGGCCCCGGTTATATTTGTATAATGCTAAGTTAGAATTCATGACAAATAGTGTCTTAAAAACTATAGCTGAAATACAACAGCCCCCAGTAGCTAGCAACAATAACAACCAATGAGACATATGTAGCAGAATTAGAAATTGGAGTTTCCAGGCTATGTTGCAAAACAATACTTACTGGTGTGCAGAATAGGGGCCAAGAGGAAGTCGATTTTGCGAGAGGTCCTTTTTAATGCTCTGTGTAGGAATTTAAGATAGAATTGTTTTACCTGTGTAACACAGGGTTGAGCCGGGGAAGACTTTTAAAGTTCCTAGGCAGGACAGACTGTAGTCTGTGGAGTGCAGTGGATTTACCACAGAGAAAATCTACAGGACACATGGCAGAACATGCTGTAATAGGTGAGTTCACAATAACTATTACATTATGTAAGTTTTAATTTTACTGACAGGCTAACAGAGATGAGAATTTGAAACCAAACAACAGCATTCGCAAAGCTACATTTAAGAATTAAATGTAGATAACGTATTACATTCTGAACTGCTATTTTTGATGGTTTTGAGGTGACCATAGCTCTTGTATTACCTTTTTGTGTGTTACCACTCTATAATTACTGCACACATCAATAAGCCTTTGAAGTTCCTGTTTTTATATTTTTGTTCTGATAAATTTTCTGAAGCTTGAGTAAACTTGATAGGCCTCAGAAAAACAAATAGTGTGATCTGCTGATTTCTGCTCCAGTCATTCACATCATGAAGAACCTGGCAGCGTTGACTCTCGGTTGGGTGCCCAAAACCTGTTACATTGATTTTTCGCAGAGTGTATAATTGAACACACATTGCTTATTCCTGCCAAGGTTG